ATGCAAAAGCTGTTAGACTGTTGATTTATCTACCCAAGTTTTGAATATCATTGCAACACTATGTTTTGAAAAATTACAGCCATTAGTACAAATACAAGGGGCAGAAATCAGATCTCTGGCAAGGTAGCACAGAGTATCTATTACAAGCAACTAGGGGAGGTCTTCAGGCGAGAGGACCATAGAGCTTGGCACCTAACTGATCTGCATGCTGTGAATAGGAAATCACTGGGAAAGCCCTAAGAATTCAATAGCCCAATACTGCTCGTTTCCTCCAAGCAGCAGACAGAGGATGTCGCTTATGAGGCTTATCTTTTTTTTTTTTAACCAAGCAATACCATAAAACATTATCATAAAATTCTGTTATTTTCACACTGCACTTGTTACCATTCATTACGTGAACTCCTGTTTTTAAAATGTTCAAATTTAGTCTTCAATCTAGGTGGCACTGCTGACTCTAGCTTTCTAGAATTTCCCTCTGCAAAACAATTTGCTTGTTTAATCCTTTGGGGGCTTCATCTGGCATGCTGGGCTCTGAGCTTCTTTTGCACATACTAGGTTTGGGTTTGCTATAAATGTTCAGCAGCACTCCTGCTTACTAAATTTTACTGCTTCTACCTTGGCCCTGGCCAACATTATTGGCCTTGTCCAATAACTGACTGTGTGTTATTAATAATGTCCAGCACAAGGTATTATAGCACTTAAAGGATCCAATTCACATTTCCAAAGACCATTAAGGTACTTGAAGAATGATCTCCTGCTCAGGACTGCATGAACAAGACCACACTGTCAGGACTGGGTGGGGGGACCCCAGGCATGGCCAGTGGCACATAATGTTCCCAGAGGGGTTGTGCAGTACCTCCCTAGACAGACACATGGACAGATGGTCACCTGGCTACACTGCAGAAGCCTGGACCCCAGGGTGCATTCGTAGCCCTAACTGTGTGGCCGGGTGCAGTCACTGTTCTTCATTGCATCTCCTGATCACACCCCTCAGCCTCACTCGGTGATCACTGGCAATGCTCTCGTTCAGCTTCCAAGCAAACTGGTTTCCCCTCTTCAGAGCACTGGTCAAAGAAAATGTTACCATGAAGTGACAGGAGTTCATAAGATACTTCTGCAGAAGGGAAACCAGCAAAGCAGAAGCTGAGTACCACAAGAGAGCAGCTAGTATCTTCTTATTCTCTATAACCACAGAAAAAAAGCTTCTATTCACTATATGCAGGCCTGTGTTGATGGAAATAGTGCTGAGTATGAATGAAGACCTCCAAACAGGCTCCTACAGCTGTTGGGGATGGATAAAGGAAGGAGGGATTCTATTCAGCCATGTGAGGGCAAAAAATAGTGCGGAGCAGGCAAAGTGACAGCAACAGATTTGACGCAGAGGGCCACTTCAGATGGCAGCTAGCCTCTTCACGAGGCTGCCTGGGCTCGCTGTGCAGAGGACTGTTGTTCACATGTGTGATGGACCGCTGTGCATAAGCGTGATGGACTGCAACGTGACAGACATCGTACATCTGCTCATGGGCACAAAACCACCACAAGATTTGTAGCATGAACAGCAGATCCCCGGGACAACATACGTCACATTATGTTGTATCAGAGTCCCCCTCGCAGTGCACCGTATCACTAGCTAACGTAGACACACACCCACTGAGAAGATAAAATTGGAAGTGCCCTTCTCGCTACATCAAAATGGCCTCATTCCCACTGCACAGTTCAGCCCCTGGCATCACGCAAGATAATATTTTTTCTGATCCTCTACAATTGGTTTTACTGTTCCCCAAGTATTAAAACTATTCCAAAAAAAAAATCTCTCCTCATTTGAGCATAAAGCACTACTTAAGGCTACTTTTGACTTTTGCAGGAACAGCTTTTTCTGCCTTATTCTTAGAGCGGCCTTGACCAGGCCTGCTCTCCAGAGGGCTGCTGCTCTGTTCTGACTGACTCGTTCTGCTACACTCCCCAGGAATCTAAACCTAAATCTGAGTAACGGCTCAACCTTTCCTACCTTTGGATCATTTTCACATTTATCCTTTCTATTCCACATCTTTCTTTCAGAGAAGGGCTGGGCTCGCAGATAGACCAAACACCTCGTTCCTGAAGCCTGTGCCTGAGCCCTGCTGGGCCTTCAGACGGGTACACAAATGTGGCCTGACATGGCCCCTCTGCCCAGCCTCCCTTCTGCTTACTGTTTTCAGCAATGAGAAGCGGTAAGAAATAAGAGCTGCAGACCATTCTCCAACAGCTTTTCAGACACGTTTCCTCACCAGATGTTCAGCTCTGATTACAAGAGCAATGACCTAATGTACAGTGGGTCAGTGCCATAAACTGCAACATCCCTAAAAGAAAACACCACTGAAAAAAGAAGAGGGACTTACAATTTAAAAAGATACATTCCAATCTGTCACAAAATTTTCACTTCAAATACTCACACTTTCACCCAGCAAACAGCTCTATAATACATATTTGAACACCAGCAAATTTTTCAGCTTTTGGTCTTCCCAGCAATCTACAGTCCCCACCGTTACCCTTTTTGAAGGGATACATTAACACTTTTTAGATTTGCCATGCTAAGACAGATGTGAAGTGTCTTTGAAAACTACTTTTTAAAAAAACCCAAATCTTGGCAACTGTAAAATACACCTCTTAGAGTTGGTAACATGACAGAACTTTAAAGCACTCCTAGCACAAGTTTCTGGAGCTCTCAACACGATATTGCTTCTGCTGTGTCCATCCATGCTGGCGTCCACATGCAAGGCGTATGATCCTCCTACTTGTGAGCAGCAAAGGGATTTCCATTGATAATACCAAACATCCAACATAAAGAAACGTGCCAGAATCACTCTCTTGCCAGGACACAGGGCAAGCTGAATCACAGACAGGGCAAGGAGCAAACGCCAAAAAAAAAGAATCTTTTTGATTCAGTCTTGCAGACAGTAATTGTAAGGCTTTCATAGCCCTTGTATTCTGGATGCTTGTGTTTCATAGGAATCCACAAGCATGAAGGTCAGCTTGTCTCTACAAAGACCGTAACCCCCAGGCAGGCAGACTCAGACCTTTAACCTGGAAGCCAGTCTCTCTGGTGTCACCCATTTCAGTGAGGCACTTTGGCGAAAGGTGTAGACAGAGGTGTTCTTTTGCACAAAAGTACAAACCATGAAGCAAATAGCTTTCTTAAGGATTACATGTACTCAACAAAAAATAATCATCTTCTTGAAATGCTTTATTATGGCAATGGGAAGTTGTTGGCTTTGATGATGTTTGTTGTAGAAACCCCACTTTTCAAAAGTCCTACACGTATCCACTTGCTGCCTTTTTGCTGCAATGGACACCCAAAACGGCTGTAATAAGCCTTCAGTCCACTTTGAAAAAGGCAGTGGGATTCTTCGAGCACAGCATGGTCAGCTTCCCAAATCAATCACAACAAATCTAGGGCTGGGCCATAAGCTACAGGAAAGGAGAGGCTTCGCCCCACAGAAAGCAAGAAGGCAGATTGACTGAAACCAGCTATTTTTGTGCTAGGCTGAGCCTATTTACATGAACATGGATGCTGATTGCCACACAGTCTCTACATTGCAGCTAATGGAAGCTTCTAACAGATACAAGGAGCAGGAATAAAAACAGGAATGTTGACAAGGACAAATGAACACTGATTTCCAGACATGAGTCAACCTCTCCAAATCATTAATGCTTTGTCTATACAAACTCTAATAGCTAGTTATAGTTTATAGAGCATTAGAAATACCAAATATAAATCTTAACATAATACCAGTAATAGTATGACTATGTAAATAGGGAAGCCAGAAATCTGTAATCCTCCCACCCTCGTCATTTCAGGGATGATTATTCTGCCTCTTATTGGGCACCTATTCATATTTACCACATCATTACCATGATCGCTTCCTAAAACATTTGGTGATTCTGCTGCTTTACCTGCCTTGCTCAAATCAATGCATTTAGTCTTCATGTCCCAATCTCATGACTGGCCCAGCTGATATGCGCTTATGTGCAGTGACACCCAATCTGCCTCCTACTCACCTTTTGTTTGATGTCACATTGGTAACAGGACTTTATACACTGCATATTTTTGTTGACTCACTTAAGAACTGTAACACACCACACCAGGGCCCATTAAATAACTCTTCATCAGACTGTGTTGGTATGGCTCTGATATTCTGCTAAGAATAAGCCATTCAATTATTTGCACTGTTCTTCATCTCATATACACACTGGGTTTCTTATTCCTTGCTAGAAACTCTTCAGATGCTATTTTGCCATTCATAAACAACATGACTGTGTATTTTTGTCCAATTAACTCATTTTGTATGTATTAGACGATTAATAATTTAGGTTTTCTCAGGAAAATCAATACGAAAGTCGTGTTAATTTTGAAATAATAGGAGAAAACGGAAAATTAATATAAAAAGTTCCATTTAAAATAAATCCAGACATAATAAAAAGACAGCAGTTCACGCCTCAGCCAACTATAACTTTGCCCTGTCAGAGCACCTTATGGGAAAAAAAAAAAAATTAAGAATATTTTTAACAAACTAGATCAACAAATACTGTTGTGCATAACCAAAACAGCACTATAATACACTTCTAATGTTTGTGTTTTGAGTGTGAGCTGCCTCAAGTTTGGATGTTTCAATTTCTTTTAACTTTAATTTTGAATCTCCTGAGTAAATAAAACAGTAGTGTAATAGTTGCTATCATTAGTCTAGCACCCTACTTTTTATAACTGATACTTTAATCCTAATTAATTGCTAATTAACCAAATTAATCCTAATGAACCAAATTAATCCTAATTAATTGATAATTAACCAAATCAATTACTATTCTACCTAAATTCAGAAAGCAGAGGAATAATAAAAGACAGTGAATACTAGTATGCTTATATTTTGGTAAGCTCTTGTTCACTGTAAAGCAGCATAATACGAAAAATTCCCAGTGGAACATATTCTAGAGCAAAAGAAACAAAAAGAAACTCTGTAACCTACCTCATATTCCCTGCCATAATGAGGAACAGATTATAAATGTGAGAAAAAATGAAGAGGAAGAGGATGGTACTGAAGAACATCGTCATCCAAGACCCGTGGTCCTCTCGAAACATTTTCAGACGGAGCAACTGACCTGTGGTATGAATATTATGAGAAAGCATATTTTAGTCAGTCAGTAAATACATGTTTACACGATAATAACACCAAAACAGAGTACTAAATGGTATTTTTTCTTATATTCAATTATTCCACTGTGTACAGGGAGGGCAGATTTAGTACCATGCAGCCAAACTACTCTTCTGTAGTTCAACAGATATTAATCCTACAAAATTACACGGTTGCTTCCCACAAACTGACGAAAACCTGGTTTGGGCTCTTAGAATCAGAATCACTGAGGTGGAGGCTTGAAGGAGTCCACGTCTCATCTGTGGCACCTGATCAAAATGTGGCTGTGGTTTTACATACACTACATGTGATTCTACATATCGGTTAGGCAACTTTCGATGTTTCCCTGTTTCAGCCGTTAATATCTCTACCTATTCTGCTCTCCTGCTGGCACAGCAAGCTGAGCAGCCATGCACAAATGAACAAGAGTGGGAAACTGACTCATCTAGAAAAAAAGAAAATTTACTGGTTTTTGTTTTTTCTTTCATGTGAATCAGTTCCATCAACCTGCTGACCTTGAGGTTCAATGCACAGTAGTGCTGCACATCTGTGCAAAAATGGGAAGGAGGGATGGATCGGAAAGGTAGCTGCCTAAACCATCACATTTTCTAGAAACCATTACATCCTGACACTCCAAAACAAATGCTAAAGCAGGGAAGATCTCATTGAATTAGTCTAGACCTGAAGGCAAGAGCTACTTTTTAGTGGTATTTGAGCAATGTTTTGAGAAACAAGTCTATTTATATATTTTGAAGTGTCATAAGTACCTCAGGCTGTGTGAGATCCATTATTCGCTGCCAGTTATTTCTTGATCATTAACAAAACAGTCATAAAATCTTGATGGTTGCCTGTCTCTTTCCACTGACTATAGGCAGCATCATGATAATAGTGATCTCATTGTATGTTTTTGTCCAGCTTGTGAAGAACACAGACATGGAACAGAACTGGGGATTCGGGACCTTTGCGCTCATGAGAAAAAGATATTATTTGCTTTTCTGAGAAGGTGACTGCAGGACCAGTTGAGAATGAAAGAAAATGAGTGAACTAGAGGGAAACTTGATGTTTCAGAGGAAAAGCCATCCCTTGACTCAAAGACAACTCTTGCTTAAGCCCAAAAGTACACAAAAATACATGGCTAGTAACAAGTAAATAATCATCCCTCCTCTCAATAAAATTGAGATAACAATACTGTGCTCCTCTGTTTTGTGAGGCAGTATAAGGCTGCCACATGTTCTTGTCAGCCAGTCACTTAATGACAACATAGGAGACTGAAAAAGTCTTAGATCCCAATACGACTGAACTGTTCAGCTGGGATAACCTCACCCAACACCATGATATGCACTGGACAAGTGTTCAGAGCCTGAGAATGAGTTTCAAATTCTATCAGAGACCTCCAGTGACAATATGGACAATTCATTTACACTCTACACTCAAGTCCTTGGTCCACAAAGGTGTAGAATATTATTATTCTTTTTCTTACAACGTAGACTTTTGCTATATTATACCACAAGGCCACAAACTGATTAAGCCTGTAAATGGTAACATAAAAAAAAAAATGTATCACACAAGAGAACAGAGCTTACAGACATACTTAAGATGTAATTACTATTTATTTCCTAGCCAGATATGTACACCAAATGTTGTGTAGTCAGATATGTACACCAACTGCATCACAGAGAACTATACGTTCCCTAGAGTACTTGAGCTATGGTTGTTTCTCATGGTAATGTTCTTGTCATTTCACAAATGTAATATTACAAGTTTGTCAGAGCAAGACTGATTTTACTGTCCTATCCTCAAAAGCCTTACTGCAATACAACATTCTCCCCATCCTGTTTTTTGTACTTTATACTTGGTGCTAATTGTTCCTGCTTTTTCAAAGGCTATTTATGATCTAAACAGGAGTGGGTGAACAATGGTGGAAAGGTGTAGAAACATTCTTCCAGTGCTAGACTCCCAGCAAGGATAACACCTAACATCCCAGATGGGATTTCAAAAGGGTTTTGTACCAACAGATAATATTTAACATGTTTAAGAGCAATATAGTTGCTACAGTGAGCATTTTTACTGTTAAGGTAACATCAGAAAGACTGATCAACTACCAAGCATATTAAACTAAAATTTGTCAAATGCTGAGTTACAATACCTCACCTCAATACTACAAAATAAGCTCCTACAATTTAGTATTTTTTCATCATTCCTACATAAAGAAAAATCTCAGTTCCTTATGCACATTTTTTCTGTATCCTATTTTCAAATGTTTCACACTGAATAAGAAGTCCAAAGGAAAAAATAAGAATGCAACAATAACTTAGTAATAAGGGCATTTTTAAGAGATGCTGAGAAAGATTACAGACCATTACAATTCATTTCAAATGCTAAAAAAATATTACTGATTCAGACATCATTTTCCTTTTCATGTCTAAGAAAGCTTTTCTCATGTGAGGTATTTGAAATATGTCCCCTGACGTACACTACTTGCTCCCCAAACTTCATAAGGACATCAAATTATGAGTCAGTAGAATCTTGTACTGTGTGTTTTTCTCAGACCTAAGCATTTTAATCACATGATGTGCTATACTTTATTCTGAAGAGAATGCCTTTTTCAAAGAACAGTGGTATGTCTTGTCACTTGGAAAGCAGCTCTGCTTACCCTCACCACTGGTGTTAGGTGAAACTTTTGTTGTGTTTTCTTCAGGAATGTATTTTTCCTGGACTGGCTTTCCTTCTCTGTCTTCTCCTCTTACCTTTTTCTTTGTCCTTCTACATTATCTTAAACACCGGAGTTTCTCACCTGTTTCCTGTAGCCCTTTACCCTTCTCACCTGCCCATACAATTTCATTCTACGCAACTTCCAGATTTCTTTATGTCTACTCTCATCCCTCTTTTCCTCTTCTGAATCGCTCCGTCTTGTCCAACCCTTTCCTAAAACAAACATATCTACTGGGTTTTTGGGTTTTAGCATCATAATAGCCTCCGTACTTGCTTCTGAAAGAACACCCTAACACCTTTTTGTCTTTCATCTCTAAACTCTTTAGGCACACTGTTTATTCACTGGAGGTTTTTTTCTCCTGGACCTTTACAAGTCTGGTACAGCTATTCTTACCAGAATTTCTAATGACCACTTTCTTAAAGCTCAGCCATGCTAGTTCTTCCTCCTGTGCGTGAGTGTCATGCACCTCAATCCAGTTGTTCAGACACTTCTTGACATCCTGACCTCCTTTTGTGTTCACAACTCTGCCCTCTAGCAGCTCTCCTTTCACCTCTACTGATTTTAGTAGATAGTTTGTGTAGCTCACTATCTTTCGTAGTTGCATGCCCCTATAACTACAAAGTATCGTTGTTTTATCATGGGTTACCATAGATGGTCTATCTTCTCTCCAGATAAAATTTTTCTTTTCTAAAACCAGGTGGATTTTTTAATGTGTTCTTCGATTGTTTGGAGTATTGAAAACCTCACCAGTGCAAGACATGGGAATTTGCTTTTGCAAGGTGGAGAGTGCCACAGCAGAATCCAAGAAGGGTAAGGAAGATAAACGATAATTCAAGCAGCAAGGTGAATGACAGCATGTAATGAGGAGATAGTGCAGTCAGGTGCTAGAAGATGTCAAAATACGGAAAACAGAAGGAAGATGAGGACCTGGGCAGGAAGTGTCAAAAGAGGTGATATAGCAGACGGGGAGGTGGAATGGTCTGGGAGGGAGGCAATCTCTGGGAGCTGTTGTTGAAATGCAAAGTCCAGTTTCAGCATGAATTAGGGCTGGACACACGAGGAAGCTACAAAGTGGGGGAAATTAGTAAAAAATATAAGGTTTTCATCTAGGGAATGAAACAGGAAAATCCCAGGGCTGGCATGTTCTGCTGAACACGCAGGAGATGTAGGTCTGGGGCAGGAAGACTGGAGGACCCGGAGCAGACCTGGGCTATGGGCTGAAGGGGTAGGTAGGATTTGAGCTCTGGAGTAAGCAGAGTTGGAGGATAGCAGTTCTGTTTCAGAGCTGAGATTTTGGAACAAGGTGGGAACCATGAAGCAGGAGAAGTGATAGGCAGTTAGGTGGGGTGAACCAAGCTGTGCAATGGGGCAAGAGTAACATAGGTCCACGAACCAGTCCAGTAGCAGGGCAGCAATAACAAAGATTCTGGCAGTGAAGAAGGGGGAAGAAAGAGAAAGTGCAAACACACAAATACATGCCCCAAGCCCCTGTGCTCTTCTTCTCTTTCACTGCTGGAACCAATGACAGCCCCAGGCCTAGCTTGACTGGGGATGTGCAGTAAGTCTGTCCTTCCCTAAAAAGCAAGCAAAGGCTGCTATGGCAATAGCAATTTATCCTGACTTACTGAGAGGAGGGGCTTAATGATAAAAGATATCTCCCTTGCAGTTTGATACCTGCTCTCTGAAGAGCTGTCATTGCATATGGAACATTACTGACACCTTGGATTAAAAACAGTGCTCGCAAAATAGAGTTGTGATTTTAGAAGGTCCGGATTAATGGAGAGGAAAAGCACAGCTGAGCATCTAGACTTCTGTAAATTTGATAATTCCACCCTTTCTAAAACAGGTAAGAGAAAGATTTACTAAGTATTTATTGCACCTGTATTCTCCAAAGCAATATAATTTTCACTATTTAGCTATTACAGACTGATTAATACATACACATTTGTATACGTCATATTTTTTAAAGTACTTTTTCACAAACATTGTCTTTGGTAGGTAAATTCTTGCATCTTAACTATCCTTCTACTGTAGCTTATGTTTGCCATATAGGACTTCATTGACTCTCAAGTAACTACACGAACATCATTTTTTAATGAAAGAAATAGTAGCTTAATCACAACGCTGAGTCATTAAGAAGAAAGGAATTGGATATTAGCTCAATCTACTTACCTAATTGCATACAAATACTGCTGTATATTACTTGTTGTTCCTATCGTACTACTATGTTAATATGCTAAATGCAGTTGAACTAAAATATGTGACATGCTCCACTCAATACCCACATTGCATTATATACCCTTTCATATCAATCCAGTTGAACGTAAAAAGGGAATGCCTGAGACGATTACCTAACAGGTAAGATGTTAAAGTAATAATTGCAAATAATTCTTGGTATTTTTATAACAAAACCTAGGAGTCCCTGTATAACGCTCTATTAATTTGATAAAATGGGCTAAAAGGGTACGCTTGTAACACATGTAACAGAAATATATTGCTGTGTGAATAGTCAGAAATTTGGAAAACCTATCTGGTAACTGGAACAGATTTGTACTAGACTAAAATACAGTTGCAAACACGCAAATAAAATTCTCAGAGTAATCCCAACAAATAAAACACTTCATGTGAAATAGCAAGCAAAAAGGATCAAAGGGCAAAGAGAGTAGATAAGGAATAAAATTACATAAAATAAGCTGTTAACTCAGCTTAATCTTTTATACTTCAGGCCAAATTAATCACTTATTATGACCTTGTTAAAAATGTCAAAAAAACCCATAGGTATGACACAGAAGAATATGGTTCCTAGGATATATTTACACATACAAAATTAGATATTTTTTAAATAAACAAATGTGCTAAACCTAATGGAACTTTGCAAATAAAAGTTAAATGCCATATGAATGACTACCAGTGATAAACTGTGAACTATAATTAGCTATATACACAAATCACGATTCTTTTCGATGACGCATTTCTTCGCTCCAAAAAAGTAATTTTTTACTGAAATAAGGTCTTCTATCTACTCCAAGACTTTGGAGGCCACATCACAGGTACATGGGGAACATGCAGTAGTGGGGACTTCAGTATTTAGGGCCCTGCAACAAACGAGGCAGTAAATCAGTTCATCAGATGAAACCCACTTGACTTTCTATAACAGCGTGCAGACGCTGCCAGGGACAATGACAGAGATATTCATTCTCAGAGAGCCACAGATCTAAGCCGTACTTCTTTCAGGTCCAGGAGATTAAACAAACCAAGAGGCAGATACAAAAATCGAGTCAGGTCACTTTTTTAAAAACTAAAACTTTTCTAGCATCTTTAGATCCACAGCCCATAAGATGGCTGGATTCATTAGACTGCTTCTCACAAGAGAAACACAAAATTCCTACCCAGGAATCTAGCATGCTTTCTTAATTATGAGTGATGGAGCCCATAAACTTCAACCCTTTCTTATGTGTCATATTCTAATATCAAGCCCTTCATGAAATCAGAGGTATTCCTTTAATTCTGGATGCCCCATCATGTGATTGCTCTTTGTGTCCATTTAACGTTCATGGCCATCTCCATCAATGGCTGAAACCGTTTAGCTGAAAAATTAATCTCAATAAACTGGAAGTATTTTTTTAGCCTTGAAAACCCAATCCTACTTTCATCAAAGTCTGGCAAGTCTGTTCTTAGTCAGTACTAACAACATATGCAACTCCTCATCTGTCACAGTATAATGTCATGGTGCTGTTGCTCATTCTGCCACTGCTAAGATGCGTGTATATGTGTTGGCTGGCTTTGTATAAGAACACATGGACTTAGCAGTGAACACAGCAATGTTCAGAAAAAGAAAGTTTTCTTAAACTACAAATGCAAAATTTTGGACTTGAACTGTGAAGATGATGTAGTCACATCCTGTAGCTTGAGTTATTCTGGTGGTGCTAGGACAGTAGACAGAAACCTTGCCATTGTCTGATATAAAAAAAACATGTCACTTCTGAAAATTATTCAGCACATTTGCAGATCTAAGGGACATCAGGGTAGCTCCAATGGCTTCAGGATATAGCAGGGCACGCTGACTGTCTTCCCACATGCAGTGAAACTGGGTCCTGATTGTACAAGGCTTCAAATTCTCCTGATGGAAGACCAGGAGTTCTTGTTATAGCACCAAGGCGGGGTTTCACAGAATTCACAGAATTCACAGAATTGTTAGGGTTGGAAGGGACCTCTGGAGATCATCTAGTCCAACCCTCCTGCCAGAGCAGGGTCACCTACAGCACGTTACACAGGACAGCGTCCAGGCGGGTTTTGAATGTCTCCAGAGTGGGAGACTCCACCACCTCTCTGGGCAGCCTGTTCCAGTGCTCCACTACCCTCAAAGTAAAGAAGTTCCTTCTCATGTTAAGATGGAACTTCCTATGTTCAAGTTTATGCCCATTACCCCTCGTCCTATCACTGGGCACCACTGAAAAAAGTGGGTTTGAACCCCTTGTGTTCTTCTCTTGCTTATTATGTCACCTCAGGAAAGGTTCTTTTTATCTCTGCACCTCTTCCCCTGTGCCCACACCGTAAGTCACTCGCTTCATTTGCAAAGCACACCGTTTCAAGAATCTAGTCTTGGTTACGGCCTCTAAGCTCTACTATAACACAAAGAATTAACAGGAGACAGTAAGAATATTTTAGAAAATTCAAATGTGAATCCCAAGGTAGACACATGGGAAATGCCTACAAAAACAGACATATTTTCTAATGACTCTGAGCTCCAAATGCACGTTAACCGACTTCATACAGCTCAACCCTGAGCCCAGTCCAGTAAACTGACGGTGATGAAGAGTATAGGAGATTTATTAGTTCAGGTCTGTAATTGCCCTAATTGCTTGATGAGATCAGGAATCTGGCATTACAAGTCCCTCATGCAGCTCTGGCCATGCCATTTGTAGCCACTTCAGGGCTTATCTATACTGACAACACAACTTGGAATCAAGTGCTTAGAGCCTTCATTCGTAATTACTGAAAAGGAAGGCAGAGAGGTAGAAAAGACGACTTAATTCAAAGGCTAGAGTCACACGTGACTTCTAGCCAAGAGGATTTTAGGAAAAGGTAACTTTCCTATACATATTCAAACCCCTTTTAATTGAACACATTGTAAGAAAACGTAACTTCACTGTATTGTACCTATCAGGATGGCTACATTTTAAAGATTTACAGGGATATCTTATAAAATTCAGCTGAATACAAAAAAAAAATTACAAAAAGTTTGTGTAATTTTTTGTAATCACAAGAGAGAGGAAAAAGAGTACAGCTACCCTAGGTTAAAGTACAGTGCTTCAATGCTTAACACAATACATTTAGAGAGCAAACATTCCCCACCTGTGAAATACACTGTGAGTAGAACAGATGGCTTTCTATCCATATTCACTTTCTGGAAAGTCATTTGACTGCTTTTGTTGCTGAGCTTCTAGAGAAACAACTTTCCTTCCTAATTTCGTTGAGTACAGTCTGAACTGTCTTTTCGTCAGTTCACGGCCCTGGCAAACTAGAAACTTGCAAAGCACAATCATGCAGTCTCTATTTAGCAGGTCTTCACTGTAGCTCGTTTGTTACATTTTGACCTGTGTCTTGTGAACATGTTTTTGGAAAAGTCATGTTGTATTAAGGTTGACATGAATGCAAAACATTACTTTTGAAAAAAACACTACTATCAACTTAACGGTCGAAGCTGTTTGAAAACTTTCAAGGAATCAGTAACATTTTGAAAAAGTCCTTTCTCCCATTCAGAGTGTGGTTTGTAGTGAGTAAAATTTTACCCTGTCATCCTATCAAGCACTGTAGTGGACTCTGATCTATAAAAGGCTATTTGAATGACCCTCATACAAAGCTCCTACTTGGACAGATCTTAGAGTTTGGCATCTGCTGCATCATTTGGACAGAGGTTCTAGACACATAACAAACTGCAATTGGTGGCAGCTCATTCTGGCAGAATATTCCAGCCTTTCCGTTGTTTTTATTGGGAGTATAAAATCATCACGATTAAAACGTAAGACTTTACAAGCATAAAACCCTTGTTTTGAAAAACACACTGCTGATCTCTATTCCAGATACTCCATAACGGGCATTGAAACAAACTGGGCCATAAAGGGTGAGACAAAATGAATTCTCTCTAATCCCACGGCAAGAACAATGTTTTTGGCCTGGGACATTCATTTCCAGAAGAAAATCAAAGAAAAATTTAAAAAAAAAAAAAGCAGCAGTTTGTCCAGTACTTTAGATGGAAAGGTTACTGTGGCCTTCACCACAAGGAGGCTTTCATCCTGCGTCGTTCTGATGCTGTCTTCTGGATCTCAGTCACAGCCCACTGCCGAGCTGCCCACATTACACATCTCTAGGCCCAGTATGGATACTCAAGGCCATCAAAATAAGGATGGAAAAGTGTGGGCAATTACTGTCCTCCTGTCCTTTCCTCTTCTTCCAAAGACAGTCATAAATACATTGATGATCAAGCGGACACTGCTGCTACTGAGGGTGCGTGCTTTTTTTTCCTCTCTCATCTATCATACACTACACTAAATATTAGAGGAAAAAATATAAAGGTTTGGATAAAAGTTCACAAGATATGCCTTTGCTGGTGTTGCGGAGTGTTTAGTGCTTTAAGTGTTACCTACTTAGAATTTACATTCTTCTCAGGTAGAGGAGAGCTTGCACAGCATACTGTATTCTGAACTCTTTTGCCAGTTCAAACATACCGGATTTAACTTAAAAGTTTTGAATTTTAAATCCAAAACATCTAATTCAATTTTTATTTTAAAAGCTGTTGGTTTCTCTTTTCCCTTCAGGAATATTCCATGGAATGATGATGAATGGTACATGCACTGTTTTCATTTGCAACAGAAATCTCAAGCTGGATTGGTACTGTTATTTGCTTATTCTGGTTTGCCTTTTCACTTTATTAGCAGGATTTCTAGGCAATATACTTGCACTACGACATTATCTGTACTGCATGAAGACATGGACTACCAATACTATATTTCTCTTTAATTTGGCACTGTGTGACTTTACTTGGACTCTCATGGCACCTTTTTCAGTATATTATAGTCTCCAGAAATTAGCTGTCTTTTTCAGTCAAGCATTTTATCAGATCATAAAACTATTTTTTGGTATTAATATCTATGGAAGTGTCTATTTCCTGACACTCATCAGTTTTGACAGATACATAGGTGCTGTCCATCCTATCACTTCATTAACATGGTGGGACAAAGGAAAGGCTGTGTTTTGTACCACTGCGGTATGGATCTTCATAGTGATTGCATCGATGCCGGAGATCTACTACACAGTTGCAGCTGGAAGACAACAGGACATCGTAGATACCCTGGATGTCACTGAAGGACCTTTACAATTTGCCGTGCCGTTCACACTCTCCAAGATTGTATTGAGATTCCTAATCCCAGTCACAGTCATTTTTACATGCTATATGTTGACTCTCAAAGCATTACTACAACTCAGTAAACGTCAGCAAAGAAGGAACAGACTTGTTAGACCTCTGTTACTGATTTCAGCCGCTATGATTGTATTTGCTGTTTCTTTCATACCATACCATGTTATGATGATGGTGATACTAATTTACAGAATTAATTGTCAACCACCTTGTGGGAACATAAGCACACTAAGTGCCATTTATGAAGTCACAGAGATCATCTGCAGCATCAACAGTTGCCTTGACCCAATCATTTTTACAGTAGCAAATAAGACATTCTATCAAAGAATTAAAAGTATAAAATGTCATCCCAAATGCCAGTGCTGCTGTTGTCTGACAGAAAAGGTAAGGGACATCACTCTGTCCCCAAGAACAATGACTTAAACACCAGTCTACAAATACACACATCTCCCATTGCCCGTTTGGCTTCGTGTCATCAGACCGGTTTAAAATTTGGTCTCCTTTATTGTATAGCAATCTCTTGAATAAGCAAGAATACACAGCAATGAAGAGTGAAATAACACGAAAAGAAACACTAGCAACTCCTAGCTTTACAGATTTGGCATTTTAAATATTCTTGTCATAAATATACCTTAATTTATTGTGAAATAGCACTGCTTACCTGTATGTACACGCAACATGGAATGAACAATGAAGAAAAGTTCTAAGTAGCTACTTTAATTCTTGGCCAGAAAAATATAGTAAGATTAAGAGCACACAGCATTGAGGAGTCTCCTGATAGTTTCTGTTAATTATTTTTCATCTGTTCATAAATGCTGCTGTGATTGGAATGTGCAATTAATAACAATCATGATGCTTGCAGCTGAATTTCTCGAGCATTTGCAGAGGCTTTCTACAAGTACTTCATTTTAATGCTGCTTGCGCTAGAGCTCCACTGACACTGCCAGTGGAACCTCATTTACGGGGGTAAGTGCAGCAAATTTACAAAAACAAACAAACAAAACCAAATAGTAAGATAAAGTCCCTGAGGATAGTCAGAGCCACAATGAATCTGCTCATGAAGCAAACAAGCACGGACTGAAGAGCTTTGTTAAGTCTTCCCCCAGGCAGCAAGGGTTCCAAACCAATAGGCAGGGCACACTGGTGGTGTCCCTCAAACTCTGGGCAATTACAGCTGATTCTCCTAAGCATTGTGCTCCAGGACAGTGTGTAGTTCTACCACGAACTCTGAACTCATTAACAGGGAGAGGTGTACACAGAAGTTCTTAAATACAGAGGTGGCTTAGCTGCAAGAAGAGTAAGAGATGCTGCTACACCAGAGCGCTGCTTCTCCTGTTCATTTAGGCTCTAAGCATCACAATTTCAGGACAGGCTAAGGTAATTAGTCTACAGTCATTAAAACAGCACAATATATAGTCATGAGAACATCTACCTTCAAGAGTCATTAAACATGTGTTCTTTCCACACATTCTATGGGCAAAATAATCCTGTTCCATAACCAAACACCTGCTGACCTACTTTCTTGCCAAGTCCCACACACTACCTTGTTAATTATAAAAGTCCATGTATCAGTGAGCAATTAGCTTTATTTTCAGAAGTTACTAGTGACAAAGTACTTTTTAATATACTTTGTACAGTGTCTTAATTATTTCATTTCCTTAGTTTTAATATAATTTTGTCCTCACGTGTCTCTATGCAAAAATAATTCTATTCTACATGGGTATTAATTCTCTCTTTTTGTATGTTTCAATTGTACTGAGCAAATATATGTGTACATATAGTATGTAGAACAATGGGGTTTTTTAATTGTCTGTAACTGTGACATGAAATGAAGAACCAGGTCCTGATAATCTGAAACACTTTACATGGGTTTGGATGTACTAGCAAACTCACAGGACCTCGTAGCAAAATGGCATGCCTATATTCTGTGCAGGGGAGTTATGTACTCACCTCACTCTAAGTGCTGCATTTCTCCTTTGATAATTTCTTAATCTTTCGATTTATTTTAGTTTAAAAGAAAAATAGTCACCTTTTTCTTTTTTCCCCATGCACAGGGTTATTAACGATGCATTGGCTTCTTTAAGAAAGAAAGCTTTTTAATCCAGGACCATGGGCAATTACCTACTATAATATATACTTACCATCTCAGACTGATACAGAAACAATATCAATGCCATTTAGTGACAAAGGTGCTCTCAGCACAAAAAAGGATAGAACAGGAGAGATTAGTGTGAAGCTCTGAGCTAAATGAGTAGATTGCTCCCACAGATTGCACCCAAGATTGTAAACAGTAAGCTATTTCCAAAGTCAAACACTTGCCATTTCTATCTTTCAACCTCTCTTTAAAGGTACAGATGCACTGTTTCTTTCTCATTTCTCCACCTCAGCATTGCTTTCCAGAAAGCTCATTTGTCTGTGTTTGGGCTGGGTAAAATTCAATGTGAAAAGAAATTACGCTTTTCTAGACACAAAATTAAACATGAAAACTCACTGCAGTCCTCGGCTAGAAAGGATAACTTCATACCTCTGGGAAGCAGAGATTCTCAGGTTTTACCTGCCAGGACATCTAATAGGTGAGCTTTTTCAGAAGAGACAACAATGACTTAGACCTGCAGCTTCTCTAAATTTTCTGGAGGTTATTAATAGAAAAGCAGTCGTTTTTCTGTTCAGATAGATCATTTTACTCTCACTGCGTAATATCTACTATATAGATGATAATGTTACTATTACATATTAAGCAAGTATCGTTAGAAAGCTCTTTGGTTGTTAATGAGGAAAGAAGCATTCAACTCAGAAGAAATCATGAAAAACATTATCAAAGTCATTTCTTGATTTTGGAAAAAATTTCGAATAGTTTCCTCTTGAAGTGCTGCCTTTATAACACCTATGAACACAGGCTGTGCTCACATGTATGCAAGTTAAGAGGAATAAAATTAAACATTTCAATTAAAGACTGTATTGAAAGCCTCCAGTGAACTCAAGACAAATACAATAATTAAAAAACTTCACAGATAACCCTTACACACTCATATGCAATACCTTCTGCAAGCAGCATTAATGCAGATTGCAGAGATTCTCAAGCAAAGTCTAGAGTTTCTCTGCCTGTATTTCAGTGTGTAAAAAGAAAAGGAAACAGTAAGGCAATGCTTTCAAGTCAATGTGAGAGTCTCACTCAAAAAAAAAAAAAAAAAAAAAGCTAGGGAGAAATTTCATTCTGGTCAGGTAATCAGAACATAAAATGCATTTAACTGAACAAGAATGACCTTTATATTCTCAGTGTGACTGAGCTATGCAGTATACTCACATAGAAAGATGCAAAACGAGATGCCTTTTACTTTCTGTCAGCATCACCCTACCAAAGAGCTGCATGGTCCAGGGCACACATGATGGAACAATGCCAGCAACTGCCATCATGGGCCTGGGAGAGAGTATCAAGGAGCCCTCACTGCACTGTGCCAGTGACCAGGGAAGGACTGGGGAAGCAAACAGGCAGGGACTTGCTTTTGCAGGGGAGAATCCAGATCTCAGCCAACTCAGCAGATAAAAATTGCCTTGAAATAGTATGTATCAAGGCAATACTGATTTCTGCTGCGTAGCCTGACCTCCAAGAATATGAGCAAGAGAAACAGGCAGCATGGATGGTAGCCCTGCTCTAAACTTTTTGTGGGGGACAAGCAGGAGCAAGCTGGAAGCTCCTCCAGTTCACTTACGTAGGACTGAGTTAGGTGGGTGTTCTAGCTCCTCAGTTCACTGTTCTCAGTGAACTCACCTGCAGAGCAAGGGACAAACTGTCTGGACTCTCAAACTCTAGTAAAACCTGTTTTTCTGCATTGCTCCTTTTTGTGTTCCACTGAAAGAAAAATATGGAATAAACTGTGTTACAAAAGTAAATCCTTGTCTCCATGTCTGTTTCTATAGCTGGATGCAATCCTACATGGTCCACTCAATCCTATAAAGCTCACTAATTTTCTATTAATAAAGCCACCTAAAACAGAGGTCCCAACATACTCACAACATAAGAGAAAAAGGGGAAGGAAAAACAAAGAAACCCCCTTATGCTTCTGAAAAGATTATTCCGAACCAACCCCAAACAATAAAGAACAGAAGGGAAGAAAGAAGACAGGGGCATTCCTACAAAAGGTATCTGTGTCCCAGTGCTTCTGTCATCTATTCTCCTGGCCTGGGCATCTCACACAACATATCTTGTGCTGGGCTGAGTCTAAAGGCACTGGGTAATCTTTAAAAATCACCTTCAGGACACAAAGCTAATAAAAAATCCTTCCCTCTGTTACCCTCAGCTATTCATGTTCCTCACGATACTCAGCTGTGAATACACCCTAGTAGCTGACAAGGCTTCTAGACTTCTGTTTGCCTGTTCATAAGTGATTCTATAATCAATTAAGCACACTTTTTTAAAGCATTTTTGTTCAACGAGGCTGAACCAATGCTAATGTTGTCCTGCCTGAAATCAAAGGTTTTCCACAAAATAAAAGGTAAAAGGCACAAGACATCTGTTCGTATTTACTTGGTCATATTTTTATCTGGAAATACATGCTCCTAAAATGTTTTATTACAATATTCCCCAGATAGAATGACATAAACAAATAAAATTAAATAAGTTTATTCCATTTTGCTACAATAAGCGAACAATAAACTAAAGAACTGAGCCAAAGTCAACATCTTCTACTATGGCAAGTATGTTGCAATATTGCTTTCTCACAGACCTTTGTTTGGATTAAATCTGAGGACATGGCATCCAATTAAATGCCCAACTGTTATAATGAGTTTGAACACATTATTGAATGTTGTAATAATTTATTAACCTACAAAACTGACTGCAAGGTATGGTTAGCGTTCATGTACCATATCTAGATCCTCAGATATTACAGTAGTAGACAGCTTTGTAATATACCAGATGAATACAAAATAGACCACGGCCTGAAAGATTTGACTGTTTATGCATGTACTCAGCTATGGTCAGAGAAAACAAATTTCTCATTTACTATTGTAAATTCAGCACTGTTTTATAAGCAAAAATTGTTAAAACACAAACCTCTAAGTTGAAGAGGTAAACTTCGCCACAGATGCCCCAAAGCTGCTTTCTAAGGAAAGCCACCTGTATGCATCCACTGTTCTCCATTTGTAATACTTTTATCTCACAATCTACCTGAAATTTTCATACTTCTTAAGACATGAGCTTGCCTTTTTTTAAATAATAGTGTTGAAACATTCCTGAAAGTCTGGTTTTCTCTTCAATATACATAAATGAAGGTACTCTGATATCAAAGTTTTTCTTTTCGACATCTCTGAAACACCCCACTTGGCAAAAAGCTATGACAAACAGTACCACAAGGCAGTTAAAATACTTCACTTTTGTACCCTGCTTTCACCAGTGAAAGCCAAAACTCTTTAGGCAGAAGAAAAAAATATACCTAGACAGATTCTGCAGCTGGAGGAACCACAGCAGAGGCAGGTAACATGGCTAAGTCCATCATCCGCCTTACAGGGAAACATAGCTTCTCTGCTGCTGCCTTAGGGAAAGTTCCACGTTTCAGGGCTGCCAAGTCTCCCTGCGCTGTGCCCAGAGCCTGCAGTCAGAGGTGATGGGACATGCTGGCCCCCACGCAGGGACTTACCACCTCTATGCCCCCCCCAAGCTCTCTTTTCAGGCCTTTTCCCAACTCACCAATTACCAGCTCGGTCCCCTCTTCTTCACATGACTCAGCTTGGATGAGGCTTCCTCCAGCTGGGAAAGGTGAACCTTAATCAGGTTCAGAACTGCAGCTCTCAGCTTTTGCAATCTAAGGTAAAATGCAGCCTAATGTCACAAAATGAGCCAAGGTCTCAGCTACTGACCTAGCTCCAAAAGTCGTATCCTCACAAAGTACACCATGTGCTAGGGCAGTGGGAACCTAGGATCTCCAGTTTCGCACTGGTCCAGCCAATACCAGTCAGAAGATGGACACTAGCAGCCAGACATCTTTCCATCAGGCTTCTTGTGCAGCCTCTCTTACCCAATTTTGGTGGTCTCAAAGGCCCGGTGTGAACTCAAAACCCCAGGTGAGCAAATGCAGGTGAAATGCATAGCACTCTGCCTTCCTCTAAAGTATTTAGAGGAAGTTTAGCATAGTATTTAAAGATTGCTTGCTCAAAGTAAAAAGAACAGAAATACAAATGTTCATAAGAACGCACATTCATCTTTTAATACAAAAACAAGAACAGGAAGATGGACTTTTTCTGCTGCAAGGAAAGGGCTGACATTTTCTTTTTTTAATGGGTTACCCAAAGGCAACTGAGAGCAGGGTGGGGACGGTCAGTGCCATCTGCTGTACCGAACGTTGCAGGGGATTC